AATTAGATAAATACCTTTCCCAACCTAAATATACAAGTTATATTATAAAAAGTCAATTAAATAGTATAAAAGTTAGTGTCGATTAGAGGTGTCATTCCCGAGCTTTTTTCCAATTCCGGGACTTTCGGGGCCAAAGCTAACTAATCCCGGGATCCCGGGATCAGTCCCGAAAAAATATATATCGTTAATTTTAAAATTTTAAAACCAACCGTTATTTTTCTTTAAAAAACTTTCTTCAGTGTTATTTGCCAAAGACCATCTTTTTTTTTAAGTCGGACTTAAAATGTCTTAAATCACGGCTTAGAATGTGAGACTTGCTTTCGGTGCACTCAGAAAAATATCATGTTAGGAAAAGCATATGAAATTATATTAATTTAAATTTGATTCAAATAGAAAAATTTCTAGTTTTATATTTATTTACCAACAGTTTTACAATGTTTTTAAACACTTTTACAGTGTACCCTCTTTAAAATATAAATACAAAAATAAATTTATTAATTTATTGCCTTTCTCAACGTTGTTTCAAAAAGATATATACTATACAATTGTTATATACCTATTAATTTAATGGGACACACCAATGACGCCAAAACATATTTGAATCCCTTTGAATTATTATCGTTTTGAATGATTCTACATTTTTTTTCTCAGTGTGTATTTGTTCCTTCCCGAAGTGCCTGTTCCATGAAATTCAATTTTTCTGCTAAATTTCGTTTTCCACTCTATTTGCAAAGTAAATACAATGATTTTCTAGGCAGTTCAATGACATTGTTTGTTGAATCTGTAAAGAAAAAATCTATATGTCGCGCGTTTCGACGAAAAGTGTAATAAATAAAAAAAAACAAAGTTTTATAGGATGACTTTTTAGACTTTTTCACCAAAAAGGCCGTCAGATAGTACCCCATTTTCCCATACACGCTTCCAAAAGGGTTGAAAATAATAGCTTAACTGAATTTTGTTGAATAAAATAATATAGTCTGTACTTTGATCTTACGTAGAGTATTAAAAAAAAACGTGAACGGACGGGGGAAATTTTCTGGGTGTGATATATACCACATTATATATAGTTTATGAAAAAAAAATATTATACAACTCGATCGTCCACGGCAAACTACTAAAACACCTCGAGTATAAACACTTAACTAATTGTTTAAAATTTTAAATTGTTTAAAATTAGTTGTATTCAAACAGCTTAAACTTCAAATTTACACTCAAATTATATATTATTAGCAAGTATACTTACCTTCTTCTTCGGAATTCATAACAAACTTCTGTTTGGAACCGGGCGAACGCTAGGATTCCAGTTAAAACTTGTTTAAGCTTGCGCAATCATTGAAGAGTTCAAGTGGTTGCTGATAGTTTATATTTTTTACTTTTGACCGGTTGTTCAAACCAAATACTCCTGTGTGCGACGTGATCTCCCATTGAGTGCATATTGCGGAAACAAATGTATGCGCCAGTGATACCAGGATGCATCGACATTGCGATGTTACGGAATTTCAGAGTAATTTCAATACGCAATCACAAATGTTTACTGAATTTGGTACAGTTTTAACTATTTTTAATTAATCGATTGATGGTGTACTTCCTTTTTTAAAACCATGTTACAAGTCAATCATGCTCATAAAAAATAAGACATACTTTTTAATAAGGTTGAAAATTAATAGTCCATCGCATATAAAAACTAATATTACTTTAAATATTGAAATTATATGTATGTAAATAAACTAATTAAAAACAATAACATTTATTTAGAATTAAGCTACAGCTTGAAATGCGGAATCTAAATAAGTTTACGGAAAATTGAATTTAAAAAGGAAAAACCCAACAACCAAGAAAGGAAAGCGAGTTAGTTTAGGAATTAAGTTATCTGCTAACGAAGCCGCAGTTATTTCACTCAAAGACGATATTAAATATTTTTATATTTACTTGTTAAAGTCTGCTTTGATCATGCCAAATGATTTATTATTTACATAAGTTTCCTTATTTATAATAATAATAATAATAATAATAATAATAATTTATTTGTTGTAAAAATAATAATAATACATTTCATTTTAATAATAATACAATAAAATGGACAGGAAGGCAAACGAATCTGATTGTTAATCCAGCCCAAGAAAAAAAGGTTTATTTAGAAACTAAATTAATGTTAATTAAAGGTTTATTAAACAATTTAAGAAAATATATTTATATCAAAAATATAGGTTTAAACAGAAACAAAAAAAAGATTTTTATATATAAAAAAAGCTTTTTACAAAAGCTTCGCAAATATTAACTTTTTTAAAGCAGATTTAAAAGGTTTTATTTTTAGAGTTTTAAGATGTTCGAGTAGGTTATTGTTTACAGTATAAACATTATATGAAAGAGATCGTCTAAATATTGCTATTTTGTGAGCAGGTGGGGATATTAGGCCTTTGAATCTTAAATTTAGGTTATGAACGTCGGTACGGTACTGAATTTTTCTATTCAAATATGGTGGTATTTTAGTTATTATGGAGTGAAACAGTGTTGCCGAATGAAATGTTCGTCTTTCTTTCATATTTAACCATTTTGCGTCTAAGATATTGCATCAAATTTTCTTATACCAAATGATTTTTGAATGGATTGAATTCGAGTTACATTTCGTTTATCTAGGCAGGGATCATAAAGTACATCACCATAATTGAAATAGCTAAGAACCAAAGTGTCAGTTAATCTAATTTTAAGCTCTTGTGATAATGTTTGACGGTGAGGACAGGGTTGCCAGTGTCAGTGCTTTTGTACTGAAATCAGTACTTTTCAAGGTTTGTCAGTACGTCAGTGCTACTTTTATAGTTTCAGTACTTTTTGCGAAATTTCCTTCCCAAAAAAACAAAATTGAATATAATCATACAATTTGTTTGAAAGATTTGTGAAATCTGGTTGCCTATTTTGGATGCTTCTGTCATTTTCTGTCGCTGCTGCCAACCCTTGCCTTGCAGCGTTGCCGGCTGCGGTGTTGCTTGTTTTCTTGGGGTTTGTTCCATTCTTTCGTACCAAAGGTTTCGGGGTTGCCAACTTACCAAGTAGAGCGGTGGCGCCACAATTAAAAAGCGACCTTATGTTCTGTGGCGACCTGGCAACACAGCCTGGATTTGACAGTTAATGTTTTAATTTAAAACTTAAAAGTTGTGTTTGTTCGTAGGTACTATTTAATGATTTAAATTTGGACAAAAGTACATGTAGCAAGTATTGCTATTTAAATGTAAGTAAATGCCTAGTTTAACTTTGCTTTTGTGGTATTGGACTGGATATTTCGTATTTAGTTTGTGGCGGTAAAAATTTTGGATTTGGGTGGTACTATATTGTAGTCTAGCTGTTAATTTTTAATATGGAGAAACAATCACAGAAACAGTCACAAATAACGTGGTAAGTAAGGCTAATTCATACCTCCCACATTAGATTTCACATTTGGGTATACCCAACAATAACTGTCTTTTTCCATAGTTTTTTCAAGAATACCCAAAAGGATCAAGTTAATAATAATAATCATACGGATCAAGATAATGAAAATGTTATTGCTAATAAAACCACACAGAAAGAAAAATTTGATTAATAGTTAATAAATATAAGTTTAAAGCATATATGCTAACATACAGTATAGCAATATACTAAATATATTACTAAAATTATTTTAAAAATTGTATTCTAAATAATAGAATGTGGTTTTCTTAATAGTAACCTGGGATAAGTTAAAGGCTATTGATTTAATGTTAGTGGATGTAGGTTTGTTGTTAATATACTCAGTTTGTTCCAAATATTTATGAAAATAGGAGAAATTATAATATAAATTGGTAACTGTTATTTTATGATAAATAAACTTAAACCTTGGTATGCTGATATTAAGTTTAAGTTGCAATAATTATCAGCATTTGAATGTTATTGCAAAATATAATATTCTTTATAATATCAATCAAAAATTAACTTTTAGGAGATGAATTATAACTATCATTATAACCGAGTTGTGCGAAAAGTAAAAAGGTAACTATTAGCGAATGAGTTATTAACAGCTGATAGGCATGATGTACGCCTAAGTCAGTGCACTGAGAATACTCATGCGGTGAGGTTGATATAATGACAGACCAGAATTAGAGAACTTTGGGGTTTGTACTTACTTATTATAAATATCTAGTTTTGCTTTTCCAAAAACTATGCTATATAGGAGATATGTCATAGTTAATACGCCGAAATCGTGTTTTTCCACCATGATAGAAGTAACAAGCGTTTGAACCATGAGGATTTTTGTTGTTGTTTTCTAAACAATTAGGTAATAGTTTATATTAGTATTAATAATTATTATTATATAAATTGTTTTAATGCTGGTGGATGTACATATGTATATAAGTATTGTTTGTTAAATTAAATTTCGTATTTATACTTTTTAACCATGCTGTTTGCATAATCATATGCTAACATAATACTTACTTTCATAGATTAACTATTAGCTGATGGAAAAATAACTGATAACTTAGAAAATGTGATTATTATAATAAAATACTAATAGAAAACCAAATAATATTACAGTTAGTAAATACAATATTTAAAATAATAAGGTAATTTTAATAGTTATTAAAGTGACTTAACTATTAATATTTCAAAACCTTTCTATTAATAAATAAAATGTAAGATTAAGTACTTCTTTATACCTTGTAGTATTATGACTGTTAGTTCATATAGGTTGGGCAGAATACGAATCCACTAAAGGGTAACTATTACCTTGTAACAGTTAATGTTATTATTTCTTTTTCTCTGTGCAATCCGTTACCTTTATCATTACCCTCATGTTCGGGGGCTGTTAATATTGTGCCAGAACAGACCAATATTTCTGTAAGATTTTTTTCCTTTTTTAATACATCTACCTTGTTGCAAAAAATTATAGGCACAAACCATTTTATAATAATAATAATAATATTTATTCAACTTTATACACCAATTTATTTTTTGTTCATGGTTTATTATTAATTTTTTTGAATACTTAGATTAAAAAAAGGCACCGTCAGTCAGATTCAGAAGATGATAACTCATTCAGTTCTGATAAGCAGGAGAATGTTGTTATAAGCGAGGAAGTGAGTTTTAAGTTACATAAAGCTATCTACATTTTATTTAATGAAATATATTTTAGGAGGGAGATTCAATAGGACCAGAAAATGCTGACAGTTCTTATGAATCAGAATCTACAGATACAGAGGCAGTAACTAAAAATTTACGTTCACGAGTTCCAACTGTATGTTATTTTAATTTTTAATTGCTTAGCTAATTTAAACCAATAATGTTTATAGAAAAGAAGGGGGGTTAAAAATAAATTCGTCCAGAAAATATGTGAAAAATGGAAAACTGAGTTTAAGTGGCTTGTTTATAAGGAAAATCAGAGCTTCTGCATATATTGCAAAAGAATTATATTAGGTAGTTTTACTCATATGATTAGACATGAGAAGACAGTCAGACACAAGAACAAAATGAAGTCACTAAGAAAAATAGTTGATATAAGGCAATTCCAAACAGCTATTGATGAAAAAAAAATCTTTACCCTGAAGGTAAAAGAGTGTGAACTAAAATTATTAGCACTTATAGTGGAACATAATTTGCCAATGCTAATTATGGACCACCTTCCGCAGCTATTAGTTTCTGCAGTACCGGATTCAAAGATTTTGAAAGCTGTACATTGCAGTAGAACAAAAACTACAGCTTCATTACAAATGTTTAAGGATGAAAGTGAAAAGTGTATATCAGATATTTTAAAGATCACAAAGTTTTCACTTATTGTTGATGAAACCACAGATATAGCAGTGAAAAAGTGCTTGGCTATTGTTGTCAGATATGTTGATATGAATCTCTTAAAAGTACGGGACCGCCTTCTTTCTTTGGTGGAGGTATCTGAATCAAATGCTGAAGGTATTATAAAAGAAATTTTAAAAGTTATTACAAACTTGTCCATACCTGTAAAAAATCTAATAGGTTTTGGTGCTGATAACGTCAATGTTATGATGGGCAAGTATAATGGGGTACAGGCAAAACTGAAAGAAATAAATAACGATATTTTTGTTATGGGTTGTATCTGCCACTCCCTCCATTTAGCTGCCTCAGCTGCAGCAAAAAAACTCCCGAATGCAGTTGAAGATTTTGTAAGGGATATTTACAATTATTTAAGTGGTAGCAGTAAAAGATTAAAGGAGTTTAAAGAATTTCAAGATTTCGTTAACTGTAAGCCTCATAAAATACTTAAGCCAAGTCAAACCCGTTGGTTATCTTTGGAGGTATATGATTGTTTAATGATAATTGTTTTTTATACATTTTTAATTTAAATTTTTTCAGATGGTTGTGAAAAGAACACTTGAGCAATGGAATGCTCTTCAATTGTTTTTTAATTCAGCTGTTCTGGAGGACAACTTGGATGCTGCTAAATCTATTTTTGATAAGTTACACAACATATTTTTTAAATTATATTTATCATTTTTGGGATATATTTTACCTATGATAAATAAAATGAATCTAGAGTTTCAGTCAGAAACACCTAAGTTGTATACTGTATACACTCGCCTAGAAACTATATCAAAAACTATATTAAAAAATTTCATGAAATCTGACTAGGTATATTGATACGAAAATTACAAATGATAAAGTTTCAATTTTTAATATAAATGAGCTTAATGCTAGTGCATATAAGAATCTAGATGATATGTATTTGGGAGTTAAGGTGGCTGAGATTCTTGGACCTATAAATAAAAGTGAAGTCACTGATGATTTTAGTCACAAACTCTGTGAATTTAAATTAAATTGCTTAGCATATTATGTTGAGTTATATGGACAGATGAAAAAAAGGTTCTATAATTTAGAAACATACAAGTGTTTTACTTGTTTAAATCCATTAATTGTACTTAGTGGATTTATTAATAAAGTTTCCTAATCTTTCCTCTGGTGACACTGAAGAAATCAGTTCAGAATATAAAGAAATTTGCAATCTCGATCATAAAATTAAAGATAAATTAAAAACAATGAATATGGAAGATTTTTGGTTTAAGCTCTATGACTTTAAAAATTCAGAGGGTGAAAGATGTTACCAAAACGTGTGTTCATTTGTCTTCAATGTTATGAGTTTGCCGCACAGCAGTGCTGCTGCTGAGCGAATTTTCTCCCATTTAAATAACATAAAAACAAAAAACCGAAACAGATTATTGCCAGAAACTTGCAATAATCTTTTGCAAGGCAAGGAAATCTTAGATGGCAAAAAATGCTATGAATGGGTCCCTGGTCAATCGATTTTGAATAAAAATGTAAATTACAAATAAAACTATTATTTATATATTATACTCATATTTTGTAATAATTATGTATATTTTTAAAATTAATAAATGTGTAGGTAACATTTAATTTGTTTTAAATGAAATTTGAAGTAGGTAATAGCTTTGTTCCAGTAACCAGTTCGGAGCTATTTTTCTTGCGCAGTGTCTATAGCAACTGTGCATGTTATTAGTTCTGAATTGGTTCCGAACTGATTCAAAAGTGATGCTGGAACAAAGCTATTGTTGTTCTTACAATCCTGTTGAAACCATATACCTATCTGGTAAGTATTACTTAGTGTGGATTCACAATGACATAAAAAATACATAAACTTAAAAAGAACATAAATCAGTTGGATACCACGTTTTAAATGGTGTGTGTTTTGAAAAATGTTTTTATTTTATTAAGAGGTATGTACATGAATTGTAAATCCTTTTATACTTCAGTTTCAGTATTGTTATGTATTTCTTATGCTTATTCTAAAGGTCATTATGAACCCATACTTAAGCATGATTTATAGATTGCCTTCCTTCCTTCCTCCCGTAGAAGATGAACAGTACAAAAACCGTTGTGCAGTTTAAAGATTCCCGTACTATAAATGGCACTACGATTTTCGTATTGTTCATCTTTTACGAGAGGAAGGAAGGAAGGCATACTATAAATCAGGCTTTATATATAGTATGTGGTTGCAACGCCCCCACCCGCCATTATGGGCGATGAACGTGTACTACAAGAAATATAAGAAATGAGGTGTACGTCAAAATATTAACATCTTGTATTTTTTTTGAAAACAGTACTTTTTTATTAAAATCAGTACGTTTTTCATTCCAAATCAGTACGGAAATTTTTCGTGGTCTGGCAACGCTGGGTGAGGATAAAGAATTTTTAATCTACTGTAGGCTCTTTTTAGACAATTGCTAACATAATTGTCAAATCATAGATCACAGTCAATTGCGATACCCCACTTTACTGGTTGTCAGATCATTGCCAACGATTTGTATTTTAATTAAGTTTGAGATCACATGCCTTTGTTTACCAAATATGAGAACTGAGGATTTTAGTGAATTAATACATAATTGATGTTTTTTGGATACTTTAACTAAAGTTCTTAGGTCGTCATTTATGTGAGAGTTAGCCAAAAGTAAATTGTCAGGTTCAAAAGAATACATTAACTGTTTATCGTCTGCGTACAAAAATGCCTTGCAGAATTTTAAACATTTAGTTAATTCGCATGTATAGATACTGAAAAATAATGGACCCAGAATAGACCCCTGCGGCACACCACATTTAATTTGAGTTTTTCTGGATTGACCCCTGTCAGTTTGCACGTATTGGACTCTGTTAGTCAAGTAACTTTTTAATAGATTAATTAAAGAGTCAGAAAATCCAATATAGTGCAAGATGGAAAATAGAATTTCATGGCTAATTGTATCAAATGCCTTCGAGTAATCTAGAAGAATTAAACAAACAGTTTTACCTTTGTCAACATCTCTTATAATTTCATCAACGTCTAAAAGAGCGGTTGTGCAACTATATCCTTGGCGAAACCCCGATTGATATGATGGTAGTATGTTAAATATATTTAGATGCTTTCAAATTTTGGTATTCATTATTTTCTCCAATACTTTAGAAAGTACCGGTAGTATGGAAATAGGACGTAGCTTATTAAAACCCGTTATTTCTGTTTTCTTCGGTAAGGGGACTACTTTGGATTCCTTCCATTGATCGGGAAAATAGCTTTCAAGCAAACATGAATTTATTATATGTGTTAAAAAAGGCAATATAGTTGACAGGCACAAATTTATCATATCAATACTCAGCTTATCCGATACTACCGATTTTGTAGCAATATTATTTATACAATTTTTAATTTCATCTTTACTTACATTTTTAGCCCACTAAATATATTAAAAATTTTTAGGTACTTCTAAACAGTAGCGTATTTGTGAATTTTCTTTGGGGGCCATGGCTAAATTAAAATAATAATGGGGAATACAAAATAATAAAATTCTACAAAAATAAACAATACAAACTGCAGCAAAACTATATAATAATATTTGGATACTATTTAGAAACAAGAAACATAACTTTAAATACATATTTATTATTATTATTTAATAATAAATTGTACATAGCAGTAGGTATATCAAGAACGTCGCGACGCGTCGCCAGCCAATGAGCCAGGGAGGGGCAAGATAATAGACAAAGGATATGAACTCCAGGTTAAATAAATACAGCTTGTAGTGTCCGCTTCTGCTTGGCCAAAAATGCCACCTTCGGCCAATCATTCCGCTTCGGCTAAAATTAAGCCTAAAGTCTAGTCGAATCCGAACAAGTTGTTAAAATAAAAGAGTAAAATAAAACCATCAAAATCAGAAGCTCGATAGGATATCCAAAAAATCTTAAAATACAACTTTTTCTTAAATTTTGAAACCCCCTCCTTGGCGATGCCCATTAAGTATACAGGGTCCAACAACAATTAAACAGAGTAGTTTTCTGGTAGCAAGCAGTGATCAGTTTAAAGGGGGACATCTTTTGCAATTGATTTCACTTGCAAACTGCTTCACCCCTTCGTGCAGGGGTTACAACCCATGATAGTGTGACACCTTAACACCTTATTTAAAATGTCTTGCTCCCCTGAGTATAGTCGTGTCGGCGAATGTTTAAAATTGCGTCATCAATGTCGAATGTCAAAAACCAATTTCTCGAATTCAAAAAACGTGAAATGTTAGGTTAGAATTCCTATGCAACTGTCCCGATCACTGTAAACCGTAATCATGAGGGCACAGAAACGGTTAGATGGAAAAACATGTATATATAAAATGAAATTGTTTATTTTTAAAAAATAACACAATACAAAATAATTAAATTAATTGAACCACACAAAAGGAGGTGTTCATAAAAACGTTCTTCCACACCACCCAATTATTTTTAATGCAAATACATACATACAAATTTAGATAAATCTATTATATTATATACATAATCACAAATCAAACACGTCTTTAATTTATAAGAACTTCTGTACACACATGTTCAATCACAGATTGAACAGATAAATCTTGAGTCGGCAGAATGTTCAATCACAGATTGAACAGATAAATCTTGAGCCGGCAGAAGGGTCAATCATAGGTTAAAACCCACATTTAACAGAAAAATAGTTCAACATATGTTTATTATTATTGTTTAGATATCACTCGTACAAGTAGCGTAAAAGCGACCTTGTGCTATAAACTACTTAGTCAGCAAAAGTTCCAGTCAGTAGCGTACAGAATAAAATACAATTAAAAACACATGTTTTGTCTAGTGCGCTACTGATATTTGTTTTGAATATAATTATAAAGTGTTTTAAGTTTATAGTTCGAAAACATCAAATAATATGATATGTTTTATAAATTATTTAAATTTGTTGGATATAAAACTCAGACAACTTTTAATAAAGATAGTTTAACACTGCTTACTCTATCATTTTAATAGAATCTTAATTGATCTCTATTCATGGTCCTTCGAACCGGATTGGATCATGGGCCTTCGAACTACGTGCTAACGCTGGGAGGTGAGCATCATCAAAGAGAAAATCTTTGTACTCGCCCAGCGCTTAGCAAAAACAACAAACTACAAAAATCTTACACTGGGAGGACAAACTGATCCAGCAGCCCAGAAAAATTTTGGAGTAAAGAAGAGCACAGTCCTGAAAAGTAAAGAATCCGGACCTCCATTCGACTCCACATAACCAAAAATGCATTTCAACGACAAAACGTCACTTCAAAAAGTGAACGAAATGACACTCAACCACGAAACTACGGATCAATCCAGGCCCCGGAGCGTTCAACCAGAAAAAGCTTCGGGTCAGCATTCGAGACGCCAGACTACTCACCAAGAAGGAGCTCTGGGTCCACAGCCATCATCAGGCGATCCACAACGACCAACTACCGGGATTTACGACCCCGAACAAATGGTGACCTGTCCGTACGACGACAGCCACCGAGTCCTAGCAAAGAGGTTACCGTACCACAAGATGCGGTGCCTCGTCAACAACCCAAGGGCCAGGAAAATGGAACCACCGTCATATCTCATCGAGGAAGAACGCAGGGCATATGAAGTCAGAATAATACGACCACCCGTAAAAGACGTTTTCCCATGGGAGAACGAAGAAGAGGAATGGGAGCTGCAGGATGGCAGCTATCTAGACTATCTTCCGCCAATAAAACCAATACCTCCACGAGCCAACAAGAGTCGTGGCCGGCAGAATGTTAAAACACAATTTTAACATAATAATCTTAAATGGCGAATCGGCAGAATGTTCAATC